GCATGGTAGATGGTACCAAAACAATCCAATAAATGAGCCCGAATTATACAAGTTCGATATGCATAAATGGAAAATTGGTTGGTTAGCCTCCATTCACCTTAAAATGATTTATAAATGATAAAATTTCATTTTCAACAACACATTTCAAAGGATTCACATGTATTATTTACCTATCTATCACTTATTTCTATCAATTTATAAATTAAATCGTTTATACATTCTTCCCCGACGAAGGATTCATAAAATTAGTTAAATAAGTCCAAAAGTAGTTTTTGAGTTTCAAAAGTTCATTTTAACTTTTCAAAAGCAATGATAAACGGGCCCTAAATCAACTTTCAATAATAACCACTACCTCACTCTCTTTGTGCATGTTTAATAAACGGAAAAAGAACCATAATAACCACCACTAAACATTGGACAACTCCAAGAACCAAGTTACGATAGATAATTCATCTATATCGTTATCCATGTAGGAGAAGCTGTTAGTTTTGTGGATGGATGATATTAGAATACTATAACTTGAACATAAATAGAACTTCCGTGATCAAATTAATCAGCTCAAATGAAACTTTCCTAAAAATTGAAAATCAAACCAACATTGTTCCATCTACTAAACTTCCAGAAAATATAAATTTAACTCCAAGAACAAGAGAATATTGCCCACGTGACAAAAGTTTTAAGGCGTTACAGAAAAATATTGAACATCATAACAAGAAAGCTAAATACAACAACCTTAAACATGCAAGCATAGTAGGAGTTACAAAAGTCATCAACAAAGCACTAGAGAGTGGTTCCAATCAAATTCTCTAAACAAGCTCGCGTTGATATTAGTTGTCGAAAAGTCAGATGAGACACTTCCAAGCCTACTTAAAAAGATGCAGAGTCCAAGGAAGACGCAAGCTACAAAGTGGCTAACTTTATAAATGAAGTATAATATCTTGCAAGAACTAAAGTTTCAGGTTTTTTTTTTTTCCCCCTTTTGATCTACAAAATTAGCACCTTTTAAAACAAACCCACAAAAAACTTGAAGAATTTCAACACTTTTTTTTTTTTGAAAGAAACCTAAAGTGACATGTCAAAATTTAATTTAAATTAGTAAGCCAAAATATAAAGAAACGATGTAAGTACATTGACTAGCTAGCAAGTAAAATCTTTATGTGGTTTTGGTGTTGTATTACAGGTTGTCATTAAGATATGGATAACTAGCTATTTTGGGGGCAAAAAAAACAAAATCATTAGTTGGAAAACGCCAAAAAAGTATAAGAAATCCCAGAAAAGCAAAAACCTAGCAAAATAATCACATATACATTCGATTTCTAAAGCTATTATGCAGACAATAAAAATGTAATTACGAATGTGAACTTGTTCACAATATAAATTTAAAAATCGAAATACATAGAATAGTCGAGAAATCAATAGGAAGTTTTAAAGGAAAAATATGCAAATGTCTTTTATAAATCACTATGAAAGAATAACAAAATTAGTATCAAATGAATATTTTTGAAGAAATTGCACCTAAATCATGTAAAAGGAAGTGCCTTTACCAAAAGATTACACAATTGCCCTACATTACAAGAATCTAAAAGTTAGAGTTTATCTTAATTTTTTTAACTCAATTTTTGTCTTAACGCATATTTTTCACTAAATTATTTTACTAAAATCTGTATAAATTTAATGTAAAAATTCAGATTGTTAACATCAAAGACAAAGGAAAAAATACCATTTATCCTTCAAAGGCAAATTTTTGTTATAAAAAGTCACTGCCACAAAAATTAGCGATGTAACTTTGACGATATATCCATACAAGCAAAAGTAATTGTAATTCGATATTTTATCTTTTTCGTTGAATTTTAATTACATGAATATTTAAAAGAGTCATTATGGATAAATCCTCTTTTTCTTTTTCTTTTTTTGTGTGTATAAAATAATAATATTAAGGCACTATATACAAATTAAGGGCTAGTCACTGGAAAATAGAAAGAAACTTAACAGAAATGATCCCTAACCCCTAGCTTTCATTTTCTTCAACTTTACTTTTTAAATTTTATCGAGCGTATTTTTTTGTCATCCTAACATTAGTTCGGATGCAAACTAAATAATCACAACCAGCACCAGACCCCACTTCATTTAACCACACATGCAAGTTATAGTCTCTGCATCCTCGAAAAAGAAGGCATTACCTGTTAGCACTCATACTTCAAATAACCAGACAATACCACCCCCTCTCAATAATTATCATACGAAAGCATGAAATATTCCACATACATGGAATTCATGTGCGAAATTCAATTGGTCTATAGCATGCTAATTGAGCTGTTTTTAAGCATTACATTTTCTTGGTACAAGGGGTTAAGTATTTAGTTTTATGATTCCAGATGGTGTAATATAGTGCATTCTAGTTTATTTGGATTTACCGTAATTAGGCTATAAAAAATAATGTTGTCTCAACATCTACATTTGCTCCAAAATGTGTATACATTTGCTCCAAAATCATACTACAAAACAACCTTAAGTACTTTCAAAATGCATCTAGCACACATGTTGAACAGATACACCTAATCCTACATAATGAGAAGAGTATGCCACAACAACGTTCAAATTTTTTGTACTATCACGTAACACCCCAACCTCAATTTGCTTACCCTTTCTGATATCATCTTTTTTATAAGCCATTATTTCCACATCATCATCCTCTCATTGACGTAATGTCAATAATTTTCACTCTCCTCTCAATGTTCGTAGGTGGTTGTTGTGTATATCCTTAACAGATTATTTCCATTCCACCATCTTTCATGTCAAAGTTCGGCACACTAGGCACATTATTATCAAATCCAACCTACTTTCCTCTTTCCCGTCATTAAAATCGAAGTCCCATTTGTTCTGATCATTCACATGAAGAAGACATGAATCCACTACAAAACTATGAGAAATCTCATTCCAAACAAAGAAATCATTTTGATTCATTGCTCCAACACCTATTTCTCCATTTTAAATATCACTCTCTTTTCCACCACCAATTGTCTCAAAACTTCGATAATTTTCATCATTCCCATCAAAATACCTAACCTTCTTAAATCCCAACATTTCATTTCCCCATCAGAATTTCATTTACTTTCTTCATCTCAATCAAATAAATTGGAAACTAAACTAAAACTCTGCCAAAAATTAGGAATTTTCTTTAAATAAAAAAAATCATGGGAAGAAACCTCTACATTAGAAAATATTTCTTAAACCCAACTTTTCATTACCTATGTAAAGAATCATGCATGAATTAAACTTAGATAAATCAATTAATTGTTAAATAAATATAATTCATAGAATGAATATTTAATCTTGGAGACATCCAAATGGCTTAATATTTTCTAAACATGAATGAAAACAAATATATAATCTGGGAGCATTTGAATGCAAAAATATGCAAGTTGATAAAAAAAAAAAAAATTCGTGTGAAATGAGTTTCAAGTCTGAAAATTTGAATGACTGATACAAAAAACTTTGGGCTCATCAACAGTAACTAATGATCCATCGAAATTGCCAAACAGTTCCAAAAAGTTAAATGTGAAAATGTGAGACTCAACTATGAACAGTTACTATTGGTAAGTGTCTTTTAAGGTCTAGGGAGATAATAAAATGACAAACATCTGGACCATAGACCCTGACCAGAAGGTAAACATCAATTTTAAAAGGTTTGGAAAGCTTCTAATACCAAGGATTTTAAGGAATTATAGAAAAGGCCATATTTTTTAAACATATCTAATTCCACATAATAGTAAAATAACTTTGAACTCTTTTGTTGGATTTCCATCTAATTATTAGATGTAGCTTTTTCCCAAAAAATTACACCTCCTATCTTCAACACATAAAAGAATGCAGTGATGCTGCATTTTTTTAACTTTAAAAATACGAGGAGACAAATTATGAACTAACGAAACCAATTTATCCAATAAGAGTAAATTAACAACTAAATCAGGATTTCGTTCATCCCCATACTTTCCAATAAATATGAAGATTCATTTTGAATTAAATAATCATAAAAACCCTACTTAAATAACAAAAACAATTAAAACCCATTTCACATCAACCTAAAAATCAAATTATTCCCTACCAAAAAAACTAAAAAAGAAAGAGAAAAATAATGGGGAAAAAAAAAACTTGGAGCTAAGATCGGAGTCAAAGTTGAAATTCTAGTCCCCAAATTGAGCTCAAAATCCTAAACTTCAGTTCTTTCATTGGTTCAGTTTATAATCTATTTGCCTTTCTTCTTCCGTTAGGGCTTCGTTTATTTTTGGAGAAAGAGAAATGAGTTAATTTCAAATGAGAAGAGTTAACTAAGCGGCCATATGGAGTGAAAGAGAGAAAAAGTAGTCTTTATCCTATAGATATTTACTGAATAGTAGTAAAGTGGATAATGAACAGTGCTGCCCACTTAAATGTGAAAACAAGGAACTCAACTATAAATAGTATTTTATGATGTCTTTTAAGGTAGTAGGAGATAATGAATAGTGCTGCCGTATTTTATTATAGAATATTTTAAAGTAGTAGGATTTATGCGCAAAAATCTTTATAGAGGCCATTAAATATCTGAACGGCCCTTACAATAAAATGATTAGAGCCGAGTCCGGAAGATGTCCGAATCACCTCTTTTGATAACACCCTTTTTATGGCGCGGAGAGAGAAGTGGCAAAAGATTACATAAGATACCGGGAAAGAATATATAATTTTTTTTAATGGAATGGGAAAAAATAAGCATCTCGTGCTACGTTGCAATCGATGGAAATTAGAGCACATTATAAAGATGAATACCATATGACAGTCTACAGAAATTGTATCACAAATATCTTGTAAAAATTTTAAATATAAAAGCTTTGGTATTTTTGTTTGAAATTAAGTCAAAGAAGAAGAAAGAAAGAAAGAAAAATTAAATCACTCGAATAAAGCCAATTGTATAATATTTATGCACAATTTGATTGACAACGAGTGTGATGAAAAAATTCTGACCATTGATTTTAAATTCCATCATATTGAAATTTCAAGCCATCAGAAACAACCAACAAGAATATGAATCACAGAGTGAACAAAAGTCAATAAATCCAAGCTTTGAATTCTGAAAAACAAGACAGGAGAGCTGAATTGAAATATACAGGACACTATTCAGAACCACAAAACTTAAAAGACAAAAACCACAAGTTGATAGACACAGATCACTCTTTATTTTAACCTCTTAACATCTGGTTGAAGATGTAGGCATCTACCCGCGCATCATCAGTGATTTGAAGTGATGAAACAGCCTGAGCAGCAAGAAAACCAGCAGTGTCCCAACTTTGCTCTTTGAAATATTGTGGGAATAAATCTATACCCAGCGGCCCAGATGGCAGGATCAAGTTGGAATTGCCACTGTGATTTAACATGCACCTATATCCATGAGGATCATAATCCCAGCCAGATCCTTCGAGTAAATAGTCAGTTAGATCATGATGAGGAATCGTTGCCTGTCGTCCACCCATAACAAAGTCGAAGTTGCTATCATTATCCAACGAGGTAAGCTCCTCGTCCTTCTTCAGCTTAACTTTGCATGAATCATCCGAGTCTTCACCAAGTAGGACGTGCAGTGCAACTGCCTCAGCTATTGCAGCACCTTCTTCATCAAGCCTCTCCTGTTCTTCTTTCTTTTTCTGCTTCTTTTTCTCCAGCTCAGAACGGATTGCCGCAGATGTGGCCAGAGCCTTCTCCAAACGCCTCTTTTTCTTCTCAGCCTGTTTAATACGATCAAACTCATCCTTTACCTGCTTCTTCTTGACTTTTCTAACACCAGCTGGTACTTTAGCACACTCCATGCTATCCTTGACCCTAGTACTACAGTACTTGTATTTTGCAATATTCTAATTTTGTTCCCAAGAAAACTTCCTTAAGATGTATAGATATCTGAGTATCTATGTATTCCCTTCTGTTCCAAACCTCGTTATTTGATGCTTTACTAAATCCAAAGCTGAAAACTTATATAACAATAAATATATGGCATTTATACCTACACCCACTCAGGTCTGAAGGAATACCTCATTTTACGAACACGACATTCCCAAAAAGAAACAACAGGAGATAGGAGAAGAGAAAACTGATAAGCAGTTAACCCGTTCCTTGCCATTCTTCTCACTTTCAGAAAATCTTTGCTATTAGTTACAAAGAAACTAACTAAAGTAAGAGCTGATTAATCACCAAATGAAATAACTAGTTCTTTCTGTTCAAACAACTCACATGTCCTTCCCTCCTGCAATGAATATGAAAAACATAAAGTATAGGACCAATTGAGGAAAAATATTTCCACAACTACAAAGGAAGTACAGCAACTTACACACCAAAAAACCAGACATTCATAAACTGCCACAACAATATACACCTAAAATCCATGCCAAGATCTAAACAGAAGAACCCAATTATACAAAGCAGTAAAGCACATCATTAACAAAACAGAAAACTTTAATCACCTAACAACAACCTAAATTAGAACATATGTTAATTCAATTCATGCACTTTAAAATATAATTGATCAATGAGTGCAATTCCTCTACCTTATATTTTCTTTAAGGGGGGAAAAAAAAGCTCATAGTTCAATCATTAAACCAATAGTAAATTTACTAATAATAAATGGGTGGATGATTCAATTAGTAACAATTCTTTATGCCAGTTTAGAATTCAGTTTTGACATAAAAAAATATGAGTAACCCAGCACGTCAATTGGCAAACATAACCCTAAAATTCAGATCCACAAAACATCGAATCGTATCCAAAAACCAAAGCCACCCAATTGAACTATATATACAATCGAAATCCAAATTGAATAGACAAGTTATATCCCACTAAGCCACTAAAATTTATCCCTTGTCCACTGGACCCAGATGCCGTCAACAAAAACCGACCCGTTTCACGCATTATCTAGCATCGGATCATACTAAAAACAAAGCAAATCTAACATAAAAATTACCAAAAATAAGAGCTAAAATCAAGCAAACCTGTTGAAATCAAAGCGAGAAAAGAAGGCTCCCGCAAAATCAAGAAAAAGGTAGATATCTATAGAAATGAAAGAGGAAAAAATTATGGGATTGGATTTGGATCTGAAGAAAAACCCACAAAAATATTACAAATTCAGCGCGCAACTGTGTGAGAGAAAAGTGATGGATAAAATAACTGATCACATCAGATTGCCGGTGAGAAGAGACGGGTCGATGCGTAGGAGAAGGAAGGGTAATATTGGAAACGAAAAACAAAATTAGACACTTGGTAACTAATGGGACGGTATTATATGAGAGAATCTTTAGCAGCGCGATCTATCAAAATGTGCCACCTAGATGGGCTTTGAGGTGTGTGGGTCATTCGTCGAGGTGACGTCTAGACATTGGGCGGTGGATTATTTAATTAATATTTTTTTCATGAAAATTATTTTGATGAATTTGGTCTAATAGTCTAACTTGACAATGTATTTGATTAAATTGCATTTGACCAATAATAAAAATAAATAGAAAATTACAAAATATTTTAGTTGACAAAATTTCCCTTTAGTTTTTCTCATTTCATTCTGTCATTTCTCTTCCAAATTCACCTTAAAATCCATTTTTTTTAAATGACGTCATCTTCTTCAATTTTAAGTCTTCAAAATTACTATCACCCATTTTTATCTCTTCAATCATATTATTGCTACTCTAAAATTATGTTCTTTGTAATATTCTTCACTTATTTATGGTATTTTTTGAGTATTTGAACAAGAGTTTGGCTAGTATATCACTTATATTGAAATATCACATTTACATTTGAAGAAAGAGTATCTGAGAAATCGCATCTATGTTGTAGTGTTATTATTAAACAATATTTAGTCAGTATTATTTTGGCATTTAGTGTGCTTTTTGTGTTATCTACAATCATTGGATGTAATAGCACTTCAACAGCTATACGAAATATAGAATACCACTCCAGTCATTATCCGTCAAGTAAAACGACACTACAGTCGTTATCTGCTGTAGTTTGATTTTTTCAATAAAATGACCTCTAATAATGGATTCAGTAACGTATATCATACAAAACGATTGGTTAGTCATAAAGAACGATTGAAATGATATATTATATATTATTGAGGTGGTAAAAGCAAAAGTCATCACACTCGTGTGTCGATTAAGGTAATGAATATATCTATCAACTTTTGTACGTGTCATGTATATATTACAACATAAATAAGTTTCCCTTATTATTTTTAAGGAACAAACAGGCCATAATTGCTTATACTCGTATTTATGCACGTAACAGTACAAGTGTCGTTTTCATGTCAAGTAACGACAGTTTTGTCGTTCCGAAAGTTTCACCTATATCCATTTTTTCAACAAAACAACATTTAATAATGAACTTTTTAACGTATGTTACATAGAAAGTTTGACAATGTAATAAATAACGTAAATGAATTCCACTATTGGTTCTTGGGCCACAAATAAAACGTAGCTACTTATACTCGTGTTTTACACATATAGCCCTTGTTTGAGCCCCATTTTTCATTAAAATGTATTATTAAACAGTAATTTGATCCCATTTTAATCACGTTATTCAATAAAATAATATTACACACAAACTACAAACTTTTTCTTATTTTCTTAACCACACATTCTTTATCATAATACCATTACAAAATTCATTTTTATTTTTTATTTTTTATTTTTTGAAAAAGAGGGGGCTCAAACAACCCCATAATGGCAAAGGGTCATTTTCATCTTAATGACGACACTTGTGCTATTCTGTTGATTTTTCCTAAGTTTTCGTTAATGACTTTTAAGTTAAATATTTGTGTTTCAATTATATATTTCTTTTTAGTTTGTTGTTATTCCATGATAATGACACATGTTACGTTATTAAAAATATAAGCATTCATGAGAATGATGCAAGTACCATTACTGAACTTATAAAAGGGAGATGAGAACGACGTAAGTGTTGTTATGTTTGTTACAAACTTTCATGAGAACGAAACAAACATCATTACTAATATGAAAATATTTATGATTCGTTAGTGGGTCCAATGTTTGAGATAGTTGCGCTGGAATAAAACAAAAAAAAAGGAGAAATCAATAGAACTGTACAAGAGCCATTAATAAAATGAAAACGACCATTTCGTGTTCTATTCATAAATATGAGTTGAGAAATATGCTCATTAATTGTCAGTCTAACCTTTCAATGATGGCACAACTACTGTTATGATTGTAAATTTACTTGTACATTAGAACGATACTTGTGTCGTTATTAAGATGAGAACATCTATAAGAACTATACAGCTATCATTATGCATGTAAATATACTTGTTTACAAAAATTACACTTGTATTGTTGTTGAGATGGAAACGTTTATGAAAACGACACAATTTAAGGTGTCCAATTCTAAATGTGGTAACTTTGAAAACAAACGAAAATAAAAGAGAAATCAATAGAACAACTCAAGTGCCGTTACTGATAATAAAATGGCAGTTTCCTATAATTATGAGTTTAAGCAGCCATGACCATCCCTGCCTCAAGAAATAATAAGTTGAACTCAATTAAATTGCAGGGTGGATGATATTTTACAAATTGAGAGATATGCTCATTATTTTTATTTTGTTGAAAATAATAGAATCACTTGTACTTTCAACAACTTTATATCAAACAAGTTACATCATTTTAATCGTTCTTTGTTATGTGATTTATTTTTATAGATTCAATGCTTGAGAATGAAAGGTCATTGAGAACGATAGTTGTGCTATTATTGAAATGAAAAGTTCTAAGAGAACGGAACAAACGCCACTTAGAGGACGAAAATATCATTGAGAACGGCACTTGTGCTGTTACTGAGATGAAAAGTTCTAAAAGAACAACACAAGTGTCGTTATCGAAAATAATTTCTCCATGAGAACATCACTTGTATTGTTACTGCAAAGAAAACGACACTTATCAGCGCGTCTTATTGACTTATGTCTCAAGAAAAAGGTATAAGTGTTGTTATTGGACTTATAAGCGCACATGAGAATGGCACAAGTGAACTTAGTTCAATACTCCATATATTTAGTACCAACATGTTCCACTTATTTCCACCGGCATGTTTCCTAAAAACGACACTTTTGTTGTTACTGAGATAAAATGTTCTGAGAGAACGGTACAATGTTGTTTAGAAGATGAAAAGGTTCTCGAGAATGGCACTTGTGCCGTTACTGAGATGAAAAAGTTCTAAAAGAATGAAACAAGTGTTGTTATCTAAAAGAACTCTTATGTTTTTAAAGTTTTGTTCATGAAAACGACACATGTGCCGTTATTGATATGAGAACATTTATTAGAACGATGGTGGAAAAGAGGGTCCAATGCTCAAGGTCATTGGATGGAAAATAAGCAAAATATTGGAGAAATCTACAGAATAGCACAAGTGCCGTTACGACCCGTCTGAACTCCGATATTCGATAAGTTGAATTCATTTATACTGTAAGATGGATGTGCCACTTACAAAATTTGAGAGACACACTCATTAATTATACTTTCTAATGAATATAGATCATGACTTGTGATGTCCTCCACTCAATGTCATATAATCTATGTCAATTCTATTAATATTTGTCACATAACTAATTTTTCTAACTTTCTTAAATTAGAGGGTCCAATGTTCGAGATTGTTGCGTTAGAAAAGAAGTAAAATATTAGAGAAATCAACAGAATGGTACAAGTGCCTTTAAACATCACGTGTGACGTTTTATCGATAAACATGAGTATAAGCAGTCACAACCCGATCAAGCCCCCGATATTCAATAAGTTAAACTCATTTATTTTGCAACGTGGATGTACCGTTTATAAAATTTGAGAAATATGCTCATTAATTATATTTTTTAACGAATGTAGACCACTTGTATTTTACCAACTTGATGCTATATAGAGGGTGTTTGGGAGCCATTTTTATGTAAAAATGTATTTTGGAATGGTAAATTGATGAAAAATATGTGGTTAAAAAATAAGAAAAAGTTTTTGATTTGCGTGTAATATTATTTTAATGAAGAATGTGTGGTTGAAAAGAAGAGAGAGAAAAATACATTTTGAAAAAAATGGGTACCAAACGGGGTCATAATTTATGTCAATTCTACTGTTATTTTGTCACATAATCAATATTTCTAACTTTATTAAGCAGGAGGTCCAATGATCGAGGTCATTACGATTGAAAATAAGCAAAATATTGGAGAAATCAACAGAACGACGTACAAGTGTCATTAAACGTCACGTGTGCCGTTCTGTTGATAAACACGAGTATGAGCAGTCACAACCCGTCTGAGCCCCCAATTCGATAAGTTGAACACATTTATGTTGTAAAATAGACTTGTCGTTTACAAAATTTGAGAACTATACTCATTAGTTATATTTTCTAACGGATGTAAATCATGATTTGTGATATCACCCAATCGATATCATATAATTTATATCATTTCTATCCAAATTTGTCACATAACTAACATTTCTGACTTTTCTTAAGTTAGGGGGTCCAATGCTCGAAATCATTGCTGTGGAAAAGAAACAAAATATTGGAGAAATCAACATAACGGCACAAGTGTCGTTAAACGTCACATATGTTATTCTATCTATAAACATGAGTTTGAGTAGCCGTGACCCATCCGAACCCTGATATTCAATAAGTTGAATTCATTTATATTGCAAGATGGACGTGCAATTTACAAAATTTAAGAAATATGCTCATTAATTATATTTTCTAACGAATGTAGACAATGACTTAACTTGACACTATATAATTTAGGGGGGATTTGATAATAATAATAATAATAATAAAAAAACCCCTAGTCAAACAATGATATTGGTAAAATAAGATTTCTTCAATGTTTTTTGATCAAATGGTCTTCACTTACAAAATACAATAAACAAATAATGTTAAATATCTAAAATGTCCTCACTATGGAAAATACCTAAATATCCCTTTCAATCAAATTAAATCCCTCAATTTATCTACAAAACATACCAACGTGCTTTCCCTATGGTTTTCTCCCTAAAATCTTGTTATTCATTGAATTTTTCTTTTATCTTCTCCAATATCGTGAACATTTGAACAAGAGTTTTGGTATCCATATTATTTACATTGAAATCTCTACTATATTTAAAGAGAAAAGAAATATATTTTGAAAAATTTCATTTATATTGTTACTTTTATTGCTGAATATAGTATAAAATGATATTTTAGTTGATTTTATTTTCTTATTTGGTGTATATTTACACTGTCCGCAATTATTGGACGATAACAACACTCCAGTTGTT